CTATTCACCAAAGTAGGATGTAACCATTGTCTTTATGGACAATGCTATACCAATAAGCCTCTATGTGCATGCCTCCTGAGATAATATGAGGCGGTACCCCCACCCCCACCCAAAGAAAATGGGAAAAAGCTCCGCTGAGCAGTGCTTTCATAGTATGCATTTTTCCCGCTAGGCAAGCTTCAAGCAACTCGCTCTGAGTTAGTGCACCCAGTAGCATGGCCTGGGAACATTCTCTTTGGTCACAGTGAATTTTTTTGTAATAGGAGTTTTGCTTGTACCTCATGTTTTGTGATGGCTGATTTAAGAGAACAGTGTGAGGCTATGAAATTTTGTTTCCTGCTTGGGAAAAATGCCACAGAAACTGTTGCGATGTTGAACACAGCTTATAGGGACAGTGTTATGGGAAAAACACAAATGTATGAGTGGTTTTCTCATTTCAAAAAAGGTGAAATGTCAGTTGATGACAAACCTCGTTCTGGACGTACATCAACTTTCTGAACAGCATACATGTCAACTCATAGCGCATTTGGAGTTCATTCCACCTGGTCAGACTGTTAGTCAAGCTTTCTATTAAGAGGTTCTGGAAAGATTGTGTAACAGTGTGTGACAAAAGAGGCCTGTTTTGTGGCAGATGGGGGACTGGTTTTGCCACCATGACAGTGCACCTGCTCACAGAGCCATCATCTAAGTGTGCCAGTTTTTGGCAAAAAACAGCATGCCTCTCTTGCCCCAAGTGCCTGACTCACCTGGCCTTGCTGTGTATGACTTGTTTCCACAAATGAAGAGGGACATGAAAGGACATGATTTGAAGATGTAGAAGAGGTGAAGAAAAGAACGAGGGAGGTGCTGCCAGCCTTCCAAAGAGATGCGTTTGAAAAGTGTTTCCTATAATGGAATCACACATTTGACAAATGTATGAAGTGTAATTTGAAGATAAGGTTGTTTTATAAAAAAAAAATTAAATACATAACTTTAAAAAATTTTTCTGGATTTTTTTGAGTACCCCCTGGCAGTCCTGACCCCAGGTTCAGCAAAGCATTCTCTCAAGCTGTTTGGTTATGACCAAGAAGTTTTTGTCACCTTGCCCCCAGATGCGCTACTATATTCATGGATATTGTATTTATAGCCTATTTGAATACTTATATAAAAATATCCTCTGTGAAACCTATCTATATTTTTGTGTGTGGTTCCATTTGTAGTTCAGTTTGTAGGCACACCTCTGTATCCACTCATAGGTTATTGTTAGTACTGCTTTTGCAGGATTGTGGTGTGTACGTTAATGGTATTTACCTCTGTTGCCTTTAACGCTTATGTTTCTCCCAATGTTTTTCTTGGCCTTGATCATTTTGTGCTGACCTCCCCCTTATTGTATATTGCCTTTCCCTTGACCCAAGTTAATATATATCCACCTTCTAGTTAGTGATTTACTTTTCCTTCCCCTCCCACTCCTACTAACCATCAAAGAATGTTTCTTTCTGCATGAGCACCTTTTCTTGACATTTTAACAGTAGTGGTCTCAAACCGTATTCGTCCATTTGTGGCCAGAATGCTCCTTAGAGGTAGGGCTGGTGTGACTTCATCTCGCACACTTGGACATGCTATCAGGAGAGACCAGCTCCTGGGAAAGGGCAACATGCTTGGTAGAGGGGAGGGGCAGCGAGAAGAGGAAGGCCCTGGGCAAGGTGGCCTGACGCCGTGGCTACGATGGGCTCGAACATAGCAGCAATTGCGAAGATGGTGCAGGACCAGGTGGTGTTTTGTTCCGTTGCACAGAAGGTTGCTATAAACTGGAACCCAAGTGACAGCACTTAACAACAACAACAAAATCTTCCAGGTTCATCCATGATATAAAGTGTTTCATAGATTCATTGTTATTGTTTCACTTTGCATAGCATGACATTGTGTGTATGCACCAAAGTGTCTTTTTCCCCGCAAAACCATTGTATTAGGTCCTAATCCAGACATGCTGTTCCATAATTCAATCACATCAAGCAGTACTGTACAATTGCTACCACAATCTGTTTCAAAACATCTTCCTCCTCTTTGAACTCCTTGATATCAGCTCCCCTTGTCCCCTCACACCCCCCACCTCCCCCTCACCCTTATTCTAGTCGCTGTCTCTATAGGGTCATCAATCCTGGGCTTCATAACGTATCATCGTTTCCATCCATTCTTTGCGTGGTGGACACTTAGGTTGTTTCCATTTTTGGGGTATTGTGAATAATGGTGCGATGTACATTGTGAGGGAGACCAGCCCCCACAACTAACTGCGGGTTTGGTAAGCACAATTGTATGGTTAAGATATATAAAGGTTATAATAAAATCATAAAGAATAATAGAGATAGGAGAGTAAAATGAAGAAGTCAGACACATTTCATGGTAGCGTGCTCACCTCCTGGACGGCCATGATCTCACCAGCCAGGTCGGCGCACAGCAAGGGCAGAGAGGGCAGGAGGAGACTATTTCTAGCCAAGGCCCATATATACTTAGGGGCGTGGTTACAGGTAACCACACACTTCACAGGAAGGGGCTGTACAATAGGCGTAAGTGTGACAGGAAGGGGATGAGCTAGAGGTGTTCATGTAATAGGAAGGGGAGGGACTAGGGGTATACATGTGACGAGATGGGTGGACCCTAGACTCAATATGGCAGCCTAACCTTGGTCACCCTTCAGTGGGCTTGACCTCCCTGGGATCTCCACAGGGAAACAATCTACTACTATCCTTATTAGAAGGGAGTGGGCCCTTTTTAGGGTGGGATAGGATATACAGTCTGATTTAGGGTGGGATAGGATATACAGTCTGATTGCTCTAGATGGCTGATAGCCCTTAGGGAGAATAACCTCTGACCTACTTTCATTGACCTCCTAGTGTCCAGTCATTTACCATGTATAGCAAGCAATCTTAGGTTTGGCATATATCTGGGGGAGCCCACTAGGGAGAAATCTTTCCGTATCCCACAGTACATGGATATGCATGTATTTATTTGTGTCACAGCTCTTATTTCCGTAGGACATAGACTTGCTGGATCACATTGTATTTCTGTTCTCAGCTTTTATTATTTTTTTTTCTAATCATTTTATTAGGGGCTCATACAATTCTTATCACAATCCATACATACATCAATTGTGTAAAGTGCATTTGTACATTCATTGCCCGGTTTGTAAAAAAATTTAAATATATCGCTCTGAAAAAAAATTCCTTTTTTTTTTTGTGCCCCCTGTTCTCAGCTTTTAAAGGACACTTCCTATCACTTTCCACAGTGGCTGTACCATTTTAGAGTCCAGGCACCAGTATAGGAAGGTTCCCGTCTTTCCACACCCTTGTCAGCCAGCATTTGCTGTCTTCCGGTTTTTGTTTTGGTTTTAACTTTGTTACAGTAAGATGATAGCTCGTTATTGTGTTGATTCACATCTGTCTGACCACTAATGATTGCAAGCATTTTTTCATCTGTTTGTTGGCCACCAGACTGTCTCCTTTGGTGAAGTATTGTCTCATCCCCTGCCCATTTTTTAATTGGATCATTTGCTTTTTAGTTTTTGAGGTATTGCCAATTTCTGAGGTATTGCCAAAGCTAGATCTACATTAGTCCCTTTTCCGACATGCTTTTGCCAATTCAAAAACCATCCACGGGTTCTCCTTACTCTTTCAGTACAGTCTTCTGATGAGCACACATATCTCGTTTGTGTGGTTATCTGGTTTCTACCCCGTTGCTTGTGCATTTTCAGTTCTGTCGCTCCGCCCTCTTGCTGACTTCACTGGGATTCTGTTTTCACATGCAGCTGCTCCCAGAATTCTGGGCTTTCCCATTTTTGTCCTGGTGCATTCCTTCCGCTTTCTAATTTAGGGGAAACATGGGCGCTGACAGGAGATGCCATCTGCCTAAAGAAGGCTGACCAAGACAGCTGGCAGCCCCCCTGCCCTGAGTCTTAGGCAACATCTGTAGACCCTGGCAGGAAGCCCCCAGAAAAGGAAACACCACATTTCAATGTCTCAGAAATGGGTGCCTCAGAGCCACAAAATGGGGTCACAGGTCAAGGCTCATGGTCCTATTTCCTGCCTCCAGCCCTGTTCTTTGGGACCTGGCAGAGCAAATGAGAAACAAGAGCGTAGTGAGGGCCCCGAGTGCGGCTGATTTGCATTTTGGTCCTAAAGTTTCCTTTTTCTTCCCAGTGTGTTTTTGTTCGTTGCTCCCCAGCTCCCATGGCTATCATCCAACCTCGCATGCTTCGGAAGCACCTGGCCCACTCAGAAAAACACATACGCCAGATGGAAGCAGGGCCCAAGAAGCTATTTCTTTTCAGCCCTTCTCCCTCCCCGTTAGGAAGCCTCATGCAGCCAGTCCATGAACTACATCTACCCACGGTCATCAACTCAATAGCGACCTTTTAGGACTGTCCCTTTGGGTTTCCAAGACTTTCAATAATTATAGAACTTGACAGCCTCATCTTTCTCCCACAGAGCAGCTGGTAGGTTTGAACCACTGACCTGGTGGTTAGCCCCTCAGTGCTTAATTTGCTACTAATTTGGGGAACCTATTAAATGTCGGTCAAAGTAGGTGTAGGATGTTGAGGGTCATTAATAAATGAGGATCTGATATAGAATCAGACAGCAGCAGTTCTCAATCTTGGAATCTCTTGGAGAGCTTATTTTAAAATGCTTACCCAGAGTCTTATCCTCAGAGATTCTAAATTATGTGACCTTAGAAGGAGCCTGATGGTGCCGTGGTTAAAGCACTGGGCTGCTAACCGAAAGATGTGGCCCACTTCTGGAAAGTTTTACATCCCTGGAAATCCTACGGGTTGCTCTGAGTCAGAATCATCTTGACGGGCAGCAGGTTTGGTTGTTATGGAGTGGGTGGCCTGGGCAACAGGATTCTAAAAACCTCCCCAAGGTTAACTGAAAGTCACTGCCTCTAAAGGATGAGCACTAAGCATGGAATCCCAGGTGAGGAGACCCAGGAAGCACCCTGTGATGATCTTCTTCCTTTTCTTTCTCTAGAGACTTCTGGGAAGGAGCCTACCTGGAACTTCTGGAAATACCTAATAGCACCAGATGGGAAGGTGGTAGGGGCTTGGGATCCAACAGTGCCGGTGGAGGAGATCAGACCCCAGATCAATGCACTTGTGAGGAAGCTCATCCTGCGGAGCCATGAAGAGTTATAATCACTTTCTGTCTTTGCCCATGACCCCCATCCTGCCCCACCTGTGCATAGGCCACCAAAGTAAATTCAAATGGTGCTTCAAGGGGAGAGATCCTAACTCTCTCCCTTCCTCCACTAATAGCCCATCCCATCACTCCTGTGGGGGAGGGGGTGGGGGTGGGGAATCCTAGTACTTCTTATTATTTAAATCTTAGGGCGACAAGGAGGAACACCTAGCCAATGAGAGTTCTTGCCCAATGATTTTTCAGCCAATAAGAACTTCCAGACAATGAAAATATGTGGTCAATAGAAGTGCCTCAAGCAGTAATCGCTAGCCAATGAGGACTCTCAAGAAAACGGAGCCAGTTCCTACCTCACAAGGCTGTTTGTTGTGAGGGTTCAAATGAAATACCTGTTCAAGTGCCTAGGCAGGGCCAACTAAGGAGGAGCCATTCAATAAATGTGTTTGCATATAAACCAAACAATAACCTGTGGTTGATAAAAAACATCACAACCAACAACACTTAGCGGTGGATCACTCAGCTTGTGCATCGATGAAGAAGAAAAAAATCACAACCAACATGAATTTCTAGAAAATGTGAATGCAGACCACACACTCATTGTTTGGTTTTGCTTTCCCCCTGGCCCGATTAAGGAGCCCTAGAGTATTGTTGTTGTTTTAATATACAAGTAACACAAACTCATCGTAAAAATCCAAATGATGCAGGATGACATAGTGAAAGTATTCCCGTCATTTCTCACACTCTTGATCTCTGGGAAGGGAAATTATTAGCAATTTGAGGACATAAGCCAATAGTTAATGCCCAATAGGAATTCACTGACTGAAAACACATTACAGTAACAAATAGGTGCACAACTAAAAAACTGTTTAGAACTAAAAAAACAAAACTAATTTTAAAGATAATAAATGGGCAAAGAATATGAGTACATAATTCACATGAAAATAATATTCAATTCAGTGAAATTGCAAAGGTTTCCAATGAGAATTGGAAATGTTGGTAAAGTTGGTTTTAAAAAAAATGCCCAATGTTAGTAAAGATGGGGGGAGAAGGGCATTTTTATACAAAGTCTATATTTCACTTTTATGCAAATTGAAAAGAAAAGTTAAAAACTGGACTGGGAGCAAAGCTCATCAACCAATAAGAATTTGATAACTACTGCTGAGGTCATTTTTTGAGACATCCAGAGATCAGATTCAAATGCTGGTTTGGGCCCTTCCTCAACTAAGCAAACTGCGCCATCTCGACCATCTTCCAACACTCCCTGGTGGTAACTGGACTGCTCACCAACCCCCTGCGCCTTGGGGAGAGCCGAGGCAGCCTGCAGCCTGCAGAGCTCCAGTGCTGGAAGCACTCGGGCAGGCCCATGAGTCGGAGCTGACTCTGTGCCAGTGGGTTTTGCTGTCTTCTCGTTTCCCACTGATAATCAAAGAGTTCAGCTGTGTGTATCATTCCGTCTCCCCTAGTGGCCCTTCTAATAAGTTATCTGGAATACAATGAAGGCTGGCTGTGGGCTGACCACCACTCCCACTATAGTGACCCCCAGCCGGCTCTGACACACTCCCAGGAGATGTGCATGTGAGCAAACCGAGCTAGCAAAATTTTTTGTTTCAGGCATCTGGGACCTCACAGCTCATGTCTCCACCTTCTCACCATCCATATGTGCTCTCATCTAATCCCATTAACCAAGACCGCCTTCATTTCTTTCCTGTTAGCTCCAGTGGCTATTTTTCTGAACATCACCAACACTCCTCAGTCACGTCGGCTGTTACTGCCTGTTCTCTTCCCTGACAGACTCTCTTTCCTCGCCTTCCATGTCACCATGTTCTTTTTGCATTCCTACTCTGGGCTAAGGAGCTGGTGGCACAATGGTTAAGTGCTTGCCTGCTACAGGAAAAGGTTGTAAGAGTATCTGTGGCTGGTGAGAAAGTGGAGACGTGAGTATAGAGGGAGGAAGGGAGCCGCAAGGGAACGTGGGTAGACATGACAGCCCAGGACACCCTCCGGGGCAGGTCTGCTCTGTCTGATAGGGACATTACGGGTCAGAATAGCCTTGCCAGCACCTAGCAACACTAATAGCCCCGGTAAGTGCTCCTTCCTTCGCACTTGATGTCCGCCCATTCGCTGCTGGTCTTCCTGGGAGTTCTTAGCCCTCCAGGTAGTCTTCCTTGGCTCCCTCACTTTCTCCCCGTCTGGACAACCATATGCACCTTGATGACATAACCACACCTTGTGTCCGTGCTAGCCTCACTGACTGATCGTCTGCCTCCTGGACACCACTGCAGACAGCTGAAACTCAGCATGTCCAACACCGACCTCTCTCTCACAATGGCTCTCCCCTCCCACCCATCCTTCAAGAATGCCGGTTCCTGATGAGCCTGAAATGGAAAGGAAGCAGGCACAGAAGCTCAGAGTCCAGCTCAGGACCTGACACTCCCCATTAGACCTGCATTCCCATGGTGTCACGTGCTGTCCCGCCAGCCTGACGCTTAGCAACTGCATGCACTAGGACAGTAAAAAAAAAAAAAATAGTGCTGCTGGTATACCAGTTCATATCCGCACAGAGTTATCCCAAACAAACTATGCTTTGTGTTCCGTGGATAACTGCAGACAAGTTATTTCAGTAATGTCAGGTGCCAGCAAATTGGTTCTGACCCATAATGGCCCGAAGCACAACAGAATGGAACAGTGCCCGGTTCTGCACCATCCTCAGGAGGGTGCCTATGCCTGAATCCATAGGTACAGCCACGGTGTCACGCCATCTCATAAGGCCTCCCTCTTTCCACTGCCTGTCCACTCGACCCAGCATGATGTCCTTCTCCAGAAACTGGTCTCTCCTGGTCATATGTCCAAAGTATGAAGACAAAGGCTTGCCATCTTTGCCTCTCCGGAGCCCGCTGGCCTTACTTCTTCCAAGACAGATTGGTTTGTCCTTTCAACAGCCCATGGTACTTTCAATATTCTTCTCCAGCACCACACTTCAAATCAATTCCTCTGTATTCTTCCTTATTAAATGTCCAACTTTCACTCGCATAAGAGGCGGTTGAAAACACTCTGACTTGGGCCTGGCACACTTAGTGCTCAAAGTAACAACGTTGCTCTGCCGTACTTCCACGAGGCTTTGCCCAGCGGATTCACCCACGGTAGTGAGTGGTTTGTTTGAGTTCTCGACTATCGCTTCCGTGAGCATGAATTGTGGATTCAACCAAGAAGAAAACCTTAACAACTTCGATCTCTTCTCTGCTTATCGTATTACCCACTGGTCCAATTGTGAGGATGCTGATTTTCTTGACATTGAGTTGTCATCCAGACTGAAGGCTGAAATCCTTGATCTTCGTTAGCGAGTGCTTCAAGTCCTCAAGTTCAGCAAGCAAGGCTGTGTCGTCTGCATATCGCAGATTGTTAATAAGCCTTCCTCGAATTCTGATGCCATAGTCGTCATATAATCCAGTTTCTCTGATGATGTGCTCAGCATACAGATTGAACATGTATTGTGAAAGGACACAGCCCTGTTGTCCCCCTTTGCTGATTTTAAATCATGCAGTTTGCCTTTGTCCTGTTTGCACAACAGCCTTTTGATCCATGTACTGGTTCCACATGAGCACAATGAAGTGTTTTAGAATGGCCATTTTTCTCCGGGTTACAGACAAATGCCGTGCCATAATGAAAACACAAGTAAACATCTTTCTGGTATTCTCGGCTTTCAGCCAGGATCCATCTGACATCGGCAAGGATACCCCTCATTCTATGTCCTCTGCTGAATCTGGCCTGGACTTCCGGCAGCTCCCTGTCAGTGTATTGCCACAACCACTGTTGGATGATTTTTAGCAACATTTTACTTCTGTGATATTAATGATTTGAGCGTGTTCTATAATTTGAGCATTCTATTGGGTCACCTTTCTTTGGAATGGGTACAAATATGGATCTCTTCCAGTCTAACTGTCTTCCAAACTCCCTAGTGTAGATGAGTGAGGGCTTCCAGTCCTTCATCAGCTTCTGAAACATTCCAGTTGGTCGCCCATCCATTCCCAGAGCCTTGTTTTTGACTGATGCATCCAGTGCGGTTTGACCTTCTTCCTTCAGTACCACTGGTTCTTGCTCATATGCTCATGTTTCAGTCATATTGCTCATATTTCAGTACATACTCCATTGCTCATATTACAGAAACATGGGTCCTATTTCAGTAATACACGTGTCTTAATCTTATTAGGGTGTCTTCAAATAGAAAGGATTCTTTTTTGTGCCATGGTAAAGAAACAATCTTGGGGTCAGCACTAATATCAAACTTTTAACAAAATATGAGTGGACACTTCCTCAAATCATTGAAGTTTTACAAGTTTCTAAGAATGCTGCCTGTATTAGTCTGGGTATTTTGGAGAAACAAATCCACAGCAACTCATATATAAGAGAGAGTTTTATGTAAAGAAAAGGTGCATCACGAAAACATCCCAACCCAATGCTGCCCAAGCCCACAAGTCCAACATTAACCCATTAACCCAACACCAGTCCACAAAGTCCTCCACCTCACAAAACAGAGGCAATGATGCCGACTGCAGGAGGAAAGCTGAGTCCGTGAATGTGTAAGCATCTCAGCACTGGCAAGGGTCTCCACATGGCTGCTCCAGCACCCAGGGCTGCATGGGGTAGATCCATGTGGCTTCTCCTTGGGGATGTCTTGGAGGAAGTCAATCTTGCAAGCTGAAGCAGGGAACTGCTAAGGCAGCTGCACCCGATACAACCATCACAAAACAAGAGACCCGAGAACTAGAAAGGCGAGGCTTCACCACCCATTTATCCCTCCGCCTTTCAACCAGCATCACGTGTGATTATCGGCCAGGCTGGCACAATTAACTAACTCACTGCCCTACATAAAACAACAAATTATATGATAAAATAATAATAAATTATAAATTTTGGGGGGATGGGGGGAGCGGGGAGGGAGGGGGAAAAATGAGCTGACACCAGGGGCTCAAGTGGAAAGTGGGTGTCATAAGAATGATGAAGTCAACATATGTACTAAAGTGCTGGACACATATGACGTATGTACAGATTGTGATGAGTTGTATGAGCCCCTAATAAAATGATTATTTTTTTAAAAAGCAAAAAAACAAATTTTAAAATGGATCCAGCATTTTGGGCAGGGTTGGAATGACCTCAAAGATAAACAGGAAAAGCTATCACCTTAAAGAATGACTAACCCATGGCTGAAGTCCATAAACTGGTGAAGAAGGCTGTAGAATTAGCCACTGAGAAGCTAGCGACTGAAATTGGGATCTCATATTGTTTGGCATATATAATTTTAAATTTTCACTTTATAAACAGTTTTATTGGCACACCATCCATATACCATGCAATTCAATAGTTCAATCATATCAAGAAGAGTTGTACAATCATTAGCACAATCAATTTTAGAACATTTTCTTATTTCTTGTATTCATTGTTAGTAGCTCCCCATTT